GAAGTTGTATTTACAAAGTGGCTTTTTTGTTATAAGTAAACTTATTAATTGTAACATGCTTCATCACATATTTAACACTTGTTCATGTGACATTGATGTGGAAAATTTTCTGGATAATAGTGACTCCAAAAATTGATTAAATTTTTTGCATTTTTAAAAATGTGTTTATGTTGCTACTAACAAAAGTTTCACAAAAAAGTTTTTTTAAACCAAAATAAGTTCATAAATTACATTATATTTTTTAGTCTAGGGGTTTGATGAATTTAAGGGATAGTACAGTCAGGGAATATGCTAAATTTGGTATTTCCTAATTTATAAATGATAAACGTTCTGGAATTTCTTTAGAAGAAAATTTGATTGGCTAAATTTATGCAGATCCTTTCATTAACAAATATAAAGGAAGAGAAAAATAAGAAAATCATGGTGAGAACTTTATTGTTTGGTCATAAACTTCTGAATTATATGGGACTAAACAATATGAGATGACATTTTTGCAATTTAACATATATTATATGGGTCATGCTGCAACAAAGTGAACATTGGTATCACCAAGAATTTCAGGGATCAAAATTTAGTCATCATGACAACCCCATTTGTTGTTCTGAACGTTTCTCTTTTATTGGTCTAATATGGAGATTGAAGTGTTCCTCATTCTTTAATAATTTGGGAGATACGCCAGATAATGAAAAGAGTTTATAGTAATGATCTATTGGTGATGTCATTTGAGTTTCTATTTGTAATAATATATCTTAAGTTTAAAAGATGTCTCAAACTTATTGTGTTAAGTGCTGTACTAAAACAAATTCTGCATCTGAAAAATTGGAAACTACTGAAAGTGGTTGGAAAAAATTAATTGGCAAATGTGTTGTTTGTGGTACTAATAAACATACTTTTGTATCTAAGGATGGATTGATTAAATTAAAAACTCCTGCTGAAGAAGCTATTTCTAAGGAAAAAAAGGAAAAGGCCAAAGAGAATAAAAAGGCCTTAAAACTCGCTAAGAAGATTATGGCAGAGAAGTAGTCAGGTCATATTCGTTCATAAATTCATCAGAATTGGGATCATCCCAAAAGTTAAAGGAATCATCAGAATTGGGATCAGGAGAAGCAAAGCTTCGAGTCTCTGACTCATCATCATCATTCCATTGCATTTCTTCCTCCTCAATCTGAAGTTCTGAGCATTTATCAAGAATGATGTCAACTTCATTAGGATCTGTAATTATATTCACATTTATTAGATAATGCTCAAAGTTTACTAATTCTCGGTGTAAATTGAATCTATTACGTTGAATAAGTATACATTCTCTATCCAATTTTCGAAAATTAGCATAATTTACAATATTTCCTGGATCAGCATGAAATAATTTATGGGATTCTACACAGGCTAGAAAATTTTCATTATATGCCAATCCCATAGATGTATACTTACCCTGTAGTTGCACTCTTTTAATAAGTAGTTCTGCCCTAATATTTAACTGAAAAGTATCTCGAAATTTTTTAACTTTGGCAATAGATACGTCAACATCTGGCATTAATTCTTGAGGAATACCCCAATTAAGCCTGAATATGTTCAAGAACCACTTATGGAAATCATATATAATTTCATTACGATTTTGATAAAGTTTATTTCTGGTCTCTAATCTCCATAGTTTGCTAACATAGGTTACTCTAACCAATGCTGTTGTAGGAAGGTAACTGAATATATTTTCAAGAATTTCGGGTATAACTAATGGGTTACGAATAACTGGGAGTTGATTTTGCATACTCATTTTTTTTTATTATTACGCGAATAAATTTTTTTATATAATACCTATTATGCAGATTAATTCAATTTGATTTTTTACACATAAAGTATAGGGAAAATTGGTCTAACAATTCATTTTTTATCTTTGCGGCGAAAAATTTATTTTGAGTCCGCCTCTTATAACTTATATAGGATATCCTATTCATTTGGGGTTTGGGCTTTAAATCTTATATATACAGGAAATCTGATTCATTTGGGGCTTGGGCTTTAAAATCCTCTAGGACCAGTTTTGACCGCCACTAGGGACAGTGATTTTGTTGATTTTGTTGATTTTGGCGGATTTTATTTTATTTTTGATGTATTTATTATATTGGTCTTAGTGGTCTTAGTGGTCTTAGTAAAATAATAAAAAGAGAATTGGCTTTATAAAAAAAAGTTTTGGACTTGGTATTTACTAGGACCAGAGGTCCAAGTAAATGGAATTTTTTTATCTTTGCGGCTCAAAATAAATTTTTCGCCTCTGTCTTGGGGCTAGTTATAGAATTTTTGTATGAGCCACGAAGGGGCGATACCTCGAGGGAATCGAAAATTTATTTTCGTTCTTCCCTCCTCCGACGACCATATACTTAAATCATACTTAAAACTCACTTAAAATGTTCTTGTTTATTCCATAATTTTAATTGTGTAATCTAAAAAAAAAAAAAAATTCAACAGAAAAAGTAGACTGTTAAATACAAGATGTATGACGACATATGAAGCTCCCAAAGCAAGCTTGTAGAGTATACTGATGAACGCTTATCAATTATTGAATAGCTTGTATCGAGATTAGTGTTAAAAGGAACGTTTATTATTATAGGCGGGTTTGATCAAAGTAAGTCTTAAAGTCGAGATCTACGAAGCTGTTTGTAAAATATA